TAACTTAATTGCTTTATGATCAGGAAATGTTGACCCATCAGTGGCCTCCTTCTGTAGATTTTTCCTGTGAGTTTGAAAAGTAAATTATTGGATGTTGTTCTGCATATATTCGCTAGATTAAATGTGCGGCTTGTGTTCAAGTGTTTTATACCTTTACTGATTTTTTTATTTGGTTGGCTTGTTCTATCAGTTATTTAGATGTGTTAAAACATTCTGCCGTGGTTGTGAATTTGTCTGTTTCTCCCCGTAGTTCTGTCAGTTTCTGCGTCTCCATTTTGAAGCTATGCTATATTTGGTTTGGACATGTTGAAACTGTTATGTTTTCTTGGTGGACTGGCTTATGTGGGTCACACGAAAGTTTTGAGGCAGACTGTGTGATGGTCCATTATTTCACTTCTAAGAGCACAGTTGACAGCGTCCTTTCTGATTCCCCTGTGCAAGTTTCACCCTGCAAGGCTTATCCGTGTTGCTGGGAGGGCCTCGTTTCTTTCCCTCTGTGCAGATTTTACATTTCTTGATTTGTGTGTATCTCAAAACTTTCATAACTTTTCATACTTCATATTAATATGAGGAAACTTATTTGTGTTAATAAAATTTTGTCTATGTGTCCTGTTAACTAATATTAATACAGGTATATAATAGTCCCCTATTATCCATGGGGGACATGTTCTAATCCCCAGTGGATGTTGGAAACCAGGAATAGTACCCAACTCTATAGCTAATGTGCCCCCCCACATCTGCATTCCTAAATAAACTTTGATTTATAAATTTGGTATAGTAAGAGACTAAAAAAATTAATAAAATAGGACAATAATAATATAGTGTAATAAAATTATGCAAATATAGTCTATCTCTCAAAATATCTTATTCTATGTAATATTTTAGGCCCCAGCTAACTGCACATGCACAATGTAAAACTGCAGATAAGGGGCAACGACTGTACCCCGTTTCTTTTGTTAGTTTCCCTGGAATAGCTCCTTTTCCTTCTTTTATTTTTAACCTGTTTTTGTTTCAAATATCTCTCATGATCTGGCCATCACTATTTTTTAATTGTGAGATGTAATTCTTTAACTCCCCTCTCTCAGAGATGGACAGATCTTCTAAACAAAAATTAAACAAAGATATGAGAGATTTAAATGAGACCTTAGAACAACTGTGCTTGATAGACATATATAGAACACTCCATCCCAAAGATAAAGAATATACATTTTTCTCGCCATCCCATGGAACATTCTCTAAAATTGATCATATCCTTGGATACAAAGCAAATCTCAGTAGAATCAAAAGAATTGAAATTGTACCTTGCATCTTTTCAGATCATAAGGCACGAAAAGTGGAACTTAATTCCAGCAATTACGCCTTAGAAAACAAACTTTTTTTAAGGAAGGAAAAAAATGTCATCACTAGGCAGTCTGACATGAAAATAAGAAAACAGAATGTAAACACAAGATGAATTATAAGAACTCCAGGAGGTAGCTAAGCTTCAAAGTTAATTTTCACTCTAAAACTTTCTGCCCAAGATTGGAATTCTGTTATCTACATGGTATGTAGTGGGCAGAAGATAAAACTCAGTATACCCTTGAGATGTTCTTCCAGCATAAAAACCTATATATATGGTGTGTATACATATGTCAATTTAGTAATAATTATATATTTGCACATTTATTTATGTTTATGGTTTAGGTCTTCACAGGGTGTAGTAGGGAGTGCTCTTTTTTGTATTCTCATTTTTTAAAGTTGTATAGCATTGCAGAGTATAAAGCTAACTTGATTTTTTTCTTTATTTAGAGATTTTTAGCTATTTAAATAATTTTCACTAAAGATACTGAAGTTATTTCCTTTTTTAGGTATTACAAACTACACTGGAACAGACATTTACATACTGCCTCTTTGTCCTTCGGCAAGAAGAGGGGCCGGTTAAATTTCTTGCCATGCAGAACCAGGGCAGTGTAGAGTTCATTTCACATACTGTGAACTTGTCCTCTGGGAAGAGAGCAGTTGGGAATGGACCATGGGTCATTATGTAAATTTTGAGAAAGACAAAAATCAAGAAACACAGTATTCACCTGGACAGAAACAAATTAAGCCCTCTCAGCAATGCCGATTGTCCAAGCAAGTTGAAACTTACATAGGTAAATCAGAAAGGGTGATGCTATTGACTGTGTTTCTTGGAAGTAAAATAATGGACATTCTGTCTCAAAACTTTCATAGTGACCCATCTATGTAGAAATTAACAATATCATAAACAGGGCATGTTAAAAGATTGAGGAAAATGGTGATTATTCAATTGGTGGTGTCATATCACTGCCTTAGGGGAGAGCTTTTGTAAGTCTAGCCAAATCTAAAAATTTATAAAACAATGATAAATTTGGGCATGTAAAATATGTAATTTCATAATTAGAAATTATAAAAATAAAATAAAGACGCGGCAATGAACTGGAACAATGTTATACGTAGCAAACATGACAAAGGACTGATTTCTCTACTATCCAAAGGGAAATTTCAAATTATTGAGGAAAATGTCAAGCAAAACAGCTCAAGGGAGAATTTGCAAAGTCTAACTACTTTCCTTTCTTTTGAGTTTTTATAATGTGCCAAATACTGAACTACTTAAGTCTAAGTTCTTATTTCTAGCAGAACCTATCATATAGGTAATATTATTGATCCCCATTTTGCAGAAAGGATATTATACCTCAGTTGATTAAATCAATTTCTGAAAGTTTCTCAGCTTATTAGTGATAAAGTATGGACTTATACTCAGTATTTTATAAATCAATTTTCTTTTCTTTTCTTTTTTTTTTTTTTTGAGACAGAGTCTCACTATGTAGCCCTCAGAAGAGTGCTGTGCTATCATAGCTCACAGCAACCTCCAACTCTTGGGCTCAAGCAATTCTCTGGGAGAAGTAACTGGGACTACAAGTGCCCACTACAATGCACAGTCATATTTTATTTTATTTTATTTTATTTGGTTGCATTTGTCATTATTGCTTAGCAGACCTGGGCTGAGTTAGAACCTGCCACCCTAGGCCCTTGCCAACTGAGCTGTGGGCGCTGCCCTATAGATCAGTTTTCTTAAGCACTTTCCTAAATAGTAGCCCCAGGCAAAAATAAATGAATAACCTGGAAATCATTGAGAAACAATTGGCCAACAGATACAGCAAAAGGTACTCAAATCTGCTTATAATTTAAAGAAGTGAGAAATTAAGTATATATATAAAATGTTGTACCTCTTAATGGACAAAGATTAAAAAATATTGAAAGTACTCTGGGAGGCCAAGTTGGGAGGATACCTTGAGCTCAGGAATTTGAGACCAGACTGAGGAAGAGTGAGATTCTGTCTCTACCAAGATAGAAAAATTAGCCAGGGATGGTATTGGGCACCTGTAGTCCCAGCTACTCAGGCAGATTCCTTGAATCCAGGAGTGTGAGGTTGCTGTGTACTAGCCAGATGCCATGTCACTCTAGCCTGGGCAATAAACTGAGCCTTAGTCTCAAAAAAAAAAAAAAAAGAAAAGAAAAATTGATCGTTCTTTATGAGAAGATGACATAACTGTAGTTCTCCTACACTGTTGATGTAAGTGTGATTATTTACATAAATCAGACAATCTCAGCCTTAATGTGCTTATCTCTAAAATGGGGCTGATACTTGGCAGAATTCGTGGGAACATTACATTCTAATACTGTACTTGAAAAATGTTAGCAAAATATCTAGCACATATTAAACGCATGATTAGCCATTATACAGTATTCCCTCTAAAATCCCTGAACATCCCCTCAAGTCCCTCGTCCACACACAAAAGACAACATCTTTGTATTTCTAGCAGAAGGAAAATGGTCAACATATCATCTATATATGAAGATAGAGACCCACAAACCCTCAGTAGCGTGTTGGATTTCTAGAATTACACAAGAATCTCCGCAGTGTATCCAGTTCCACAGCCCTTGCTCTAGATTTCCATTTCCATGCAAGTCAAAGCAGATAATAAACAGAACAACAGAGGCCAGGAGCTCCGTGACAATAATACATGGTGAAATCACTGACATTTTCTATGCTCAGTGGTGTGATAGTGTAGCCAAATTCTCCTCTTACTATTTCAGGGCACTGTTGGCTTTCTGGATTAAATAAGTTTAGAAATTCTAAATGTAAGTAAACAATACAAAAGTACCAAAGCTCTGTAATAATATCCTCCCTTTTCTAAATATTTACTAGCAACAGTGTTTAATTGAGAAAGATAATACTGACTTAAAGGTGGCCCCCAACCTTTTTGGCACCAGGAACAGCTGGTTTTATGGACGGACGACATCTGGGGATCAGGGGAATGGTTTGGGATGATTCAAGCACATTCCATCTCCACCTCGGATCACCAGGCGTTAGACTGTCATAAGCAGCTGCAGCCTGTATCCCTCTCACGTGAGGTTTACAGTAGGGTTCTCACGCCCACGACAATCTAATGTTACTGGTGACTGGCTGACAGGAGGAGGAGCTCAGGTGCTGATACAAGCAGTGGGGAGCAGCTGTAATTGCAGATGAAGCTTTGTTCCCTTAAGTGCTACTCACCTTCTGCTGTGCAGCCCAGTTCTTAACAGGCTGTGGATAGGCGCCAGTCTGTAGCCTGGGCAGCAGTTGGGAACTGCAGATCTAGTTTTGATGATTACCATGCGCAGAGCCATTGTGGCAATGTCTGTAATCAGTTTTTACAGCTAAAAATCTTCTCTTAGATACTATTCCCTCCAGGAGGACAAAGTCACCAGTATTCTGACTCATTGAATGGCAGCTGGTCTGTGATTCTTTTCTCATGAACGCTTTCCTAGTATTTCCAATCCGTGTGGTAGAATTTTATCTCCAATTTTTTAAAGAAACTTTACTGGTAGACCTTCTCTTTTATGTCCTTTTCTTTCTTATTTCTTTATATAACTATCGCTGTACGATAAACCTGACAAGATGACTTTGGCAGTTGTTGACCATCAGGGGAAATGATGTTTGTGTGGTTTGTCCACAGCACCTTTAACTGGACCGTCCCCTTCCTTTCTTCGCTGGCCTGTTTGATTCTGGCAGCGGCCACCGTCACTCTGTACTTCATTCCACTGCGGTACATCATTTTAATCTGGGGTAAGTTTGGCATGGTCCTTTTTTAGCAATCAATTCCAGGTAAGAACCAGTTACTCATTTTTAAAGTGCAACTATTACCTTTAAATGTACTCTTGTTGGCAATTAAACGTGAGATTAAGGAAAGCATTTTGGGAACAAAAACTTACAGGACCTCCCTGGAAAGGCCGGTTACATGAATGATCCGCATAGATATTTATAGGCCTCTTGCATAATTGCAGTAAAAATAAAACTGTGCTTGTACATGCCAGTTCCCTTTGGGCTTTCCTAGTCATAAATTCCCTGGAATAATATATTGCTCTGGCCCACTCACTTTATAGAAACCCTGTTCAAACAGTGAGCAAACACCTGCATCTTGCCCTTTAATATTATGTAAAAGTAGATCTGGCCACTGCCAGGTTACTCCTGACACTTCATCTCTCTTGGACAAAAGAAATAATTGACCTAACCCCACTCTTAAATCCAGAAGCAGTGAGGGGAAAGGGAGGAGGGGGGATTCTGTGACTACCTAACCACTGCCTGAGAAAAGAGGAAGTTATTATTTATCAGGGGAACTGCTATACCTATATAAAGTTGGAATGCTTAAAAAAAGAAAGCAGAAACGAGAATGGAAAACTGGATATAAATTTCATGACTTGATGTAATACTCAGGCTAGCAATTGAACAAACTATAAGCAGCTTTGTGACTATTGGTGTCTTGCTGGGTGGGCTGTGGACAGGGAGTATGCATTGCAGTCACTTAATTATTGCAGAAGCAGCCGGCCTTTATGCACAAAGAGTCTGTCAGTCCCGGTTTTCCATTACTTAGCTCCACCACTGCTGCTGAGCTCTCAACCATCGTCACGTCTAGGGACCGTCAGGTGTGAAGATGTTAGGGGAAATCACGAAGATGAGAAACTGTGTTGAGATGCGTTCACCTCGAAGCCAAAGCTGAGAGCCTGCAAATGCTGGGTGAAAGCTCCAACCTTTCTGAGACCATTAAATATAGCCCCTTTCACAGAGACCCCACAGAGGGAGAGGGCTGCTGACAGGGAAAGCCAAACCTGGACGTTCAGAAATGCGACAAGTCCTGGGAAAAACAGAATAAACTCGTATGTGTAAAATTACAGAAGTAGGGAGATTTTTCAGGGAGCATGGTCCACGACTGTATTCTGACTCCCTCTTTAGGGGTCCTCTGTAATACTTGATGACCTCGTCCTTGGAGAAAGTCTTATGTCTCTGCTTGGTTTTTGGTTGTTTACTTTTGTTGTTGTTGTATGTTTAGTCAGCTTACACCTTTTCAGTTATTTTGTCATAGTTTCTAAGTTAATCATTGTTGTTTCTCTATTATTCTGGTGCTTACTTGATTCCTATGCAGTTTCCTTTCACAAACACTAATAAATCTATCTATCTCCTTTCAGCTTCAATTTTGAGATTCCAATTCCTAGTTCTATGCACCCAAATCACTTTGACTTCTGATCTTATCCTCCAAATTCTTGGCAGCAGTTCAACAACTTTTTGCATCGACTTAATGAAATATTGGTTCATTTATTATTCACTTTATGGATAAAATTATTAATTGGCATGGAGTTAATTATGCTCTCCTGGGCCGACAGTGGGCTGACTGTAACCCTTTGAGCTCTTATACTCTGGTTGTCTGGTTGTTTGGTTTTGTGTTTGACAGGAGTTTGTAGTTGTATTCCTGAGATTACTGTGGATAATGCAGTCAAAATCCTTCATAATCAACAGGTTATCTATTGCTGCCTCTTACACTGTAAGGCCTGCCACACCATCTTGGAATATTCTCTGCAATTTTATTAGGGATTATTCTTTTCTTTCTTTCTTTCTTTTTTTTTTTTTTTTTTTTGGAGATACAGTTTCACTATGTCACCCTTAGTAGAAGTGCTGTGGCGTCACAGCTCATAGCAACCTCCAACTCTTGGGCTTAAGCCATTCTCTTGCCTCAGCCTCCCAAGTAGCTGGGACTACAGGCACTCACCACAACGCCCAGGTATTTTTTTGTTGTAGTTGTCATTGTTTAGCTGGCTTGGGCCAGGTTTGAACCTGCTACCCTCAGCGTATGTGGCTGGCTCCATAACCACGGTGCTGAGCCGGGGATTATTCTCTTCTAAGACAATTTAGTTATTCTAAGGGGCCCAGGATGTTCTTTTGCACATCTCTTACATGACCGTATTCCCTGCTGTGAGACTCTCACCTAGTAGAACAGAAAGTTATATGTCTTGAACTTCTAGTGTTCCTTTTAACTCTGTTAAGATCAGAAAACTTCCCTTATCCTGTGTTATTTATTATTTTCATTGAATCCTAAAAATGAGATCCTCAGTCTTTTTATGTTTATAATTCCTTGGAAAAAAGATTTAACTATAAGTACTATATTTCCATATTCTGTATACCCAAATATTATTTTTGTAAAATATTCCTGGCCCCCTCAAATCATGATAAGGTTCTAACAGGTGAGATGCTTTTGTTTTCTGCTTTAGCCCTATAATTCCTAGTGCAGCAACCTACAGGTAAAAGATATTTTACGTGTGAATGGGTCTGCATGCTTAAGATCTGCATTCTATGGAGGTGACATTTTGTTGGCCACCACCTTTCTTGGGTAAGAATGCGACTTTGGGAAATTAACTGAGAAGTAGATTTTAAGAAGGCTACCTGACATTTCTTTTAGGAAACATTATTTGAATCTGAGTCACTTATTTGATGTATATATTTCCAGAAGGCAGAGAATTTCTTAGGACAGACCCCATGTGGCTTTTCCATCCTCTTGAGAAATTTCCCATATTCCTTCTATTCTATTCTTCATCACAGACGTTTTAATTATAGTTTTTCAGTCCTTTCTAAGCCACTCCTACTTTTTCAATGTAGATATGACTTCTCCAAGCTAAACTCTGGGCTTTTTGCAAGAAGGGATCATGACTTATTTACCTTTGTATCATCATTTGATGGCTCAGTGTCTCTTACATGGACGATGATTGGGGTTTGGGAATCTCTGCCCCACCCAACCAATGTATTACACTTGGAACTACATGCCAGGTCACTCATACAAATACCTCAAAAACTGCTATGATTATGTTTTGAAAACTCATTCTCAAATGACCAAATGCAAAGCAACCATGCAGTTTTTTATCCCTTCTGACTTTCTCTAAGTCCGGGGTCCTCAAACTTTTTAAACAGGGGGCCAGTTCACTGTCCCTCAGACCATTGGAGGGCTGGACTGAGGGCCCTGGGACAAGTCGGCTGCTAAGCAGGACAGGCAGAGGCGGCAAAAACACCCAGTGGGCCGGATACATGTCCTAGGTGGGCCTCATGTGGCCCGCAGGCTGTAGTTTGAGGATGCCTGTGTGATGTTTTTCTTATTTTTGTTTCTTTTTCTGGAGACCTCATTCTAGCCCACTGATCAGTCTTCAATACGTGGGTCATTATGAAAGTTTTCAGATATACAAAATCCATGCAGATAGAAACAAATGAAGCCCTCTCGGCAGCACTGATACTTGCCCCGGTGAATCAGAAAGGATTCTGTGAACTGTGTTTCTTGGAAGTGAAATAACAGACCATAAGACAGTCTGTCTCAAAATTTTTGTAGTAACCTAAGTATAGGATCATTCAATGATTGTATATTTTTAAAATGTTATCCTTTGGTATTTAAATTTAACTTGATTTTGTTGTTGTTGTTTTTCCGCAGTTTTTGGATAAAAAAATTTTATCCAAATATATTTTTGGATATACTGTATCATATAGATTAAAACAAAATCTAAAGGTGTATCTAGCATGCTACCAGATGAAGCCATGATGTCCCAATTTGGGTGTGTGGTCACATGCCCGATAGGACCAAGACTCTTTTCTGTCTTTGTCTTCTTGACAACAGTAATGATGTTAGCCCTCTACATCGTTGGTGCATTTCAGGTACAAAACACTTCTGCCTCTACTATCCAATGTCACTGTCCCATCAATCCAGGAAACCATATAGGGCAGGTGCTTATAATTCAAATTTTAATATAAGAAATCTGAGGGACAGGAAAGTTGAGTGAGTTACCCAAAATCACACAAGTGATCATGAAGCCAGAACTGGACCCCCAGTGGTCCTGCATCATAATAACTCTGTTTTCTTGCTGTGTAAAGATGACCAAGGAGTTTACCACTTCCTGTTGACACTATAGATAATATGACAGAATTACTGAAACATTTGAGCCTGAGGCACCTTAATAAATAAGGTGTACTTTTGAAACACACAATCTGAGAGCCTTGTAATTTTTATTCTATTTTTTTCCATCATAGACAGTCTCGGTGCATTGTGGACTACTCTTGCCCTTATTGGCGCATCCGAGCTACTGTGAAGGTTTATAATCTTCTCAGTCACTAAGAATGCAGTGTTTTGATCGGCGATGATATTATCCCTGCCTTGCTGCTCATTGTAAAGACTCCAGATGCGCACACTATATATAATTAACAATAGAAGATATATCTTTTCTCAATACGTCTTTGTCTCCCTTCATCATTTTGCCTTGTCTGTTTTCTTTTGCCAAAAAGCCCATGCTACAATTAAATGTCTTTAGAATAACACAGCGAGAGTATTTTAGTGTAAAGGAACGCTTGGGGGAATTTTAGCGAGAAACATGAAGCTTGCTGTGGGGGTAGAGGGAAGAAAGGCAGAGTGCAGCTTTGACTTGAACGAAAGGGATCGTTTTTTGCTACGGACCTTCCCCAGCCCGGCCACCAAGCCACCATTTACTCATGAACAATGGCCAGCTCCCATTTGCAAAGCAGATGTAAATCTGACCCTCCAAAGAAATAACTGGAGGTTGTCATTGTGTCAGGTATAATGCCATGCGGGAAGCCTCGTCCTCAGATGAAAGCAAAGTAATATTTAATGAACAACAACAAAAAAACACACATCAAACCTTTTGTGTGTTGGGGACTACTGAACGGTTAAATGTTACCTTGGCTTCTGAGTAAGAGCCATTCAGAGCACAGCGAAGCTAAGAATTCATTCGGCGTCATTGGGAGTGACAGCCCTTCAGATATGATCCTTGTTAAACAAGCACCCTGTGGCAAAACTTCAGAAGGCCACCTAGTCTTTCTGTTTCTAAAACTCAACATGAAAAAAGGGTTGACATTTGGTGAAAAGACCATACAGCTTATGAGCTCTTGATACAAGCAAAGCAGCTCCAAGGAACAGGGAGAAGGTAAAATGTGGTGGAGAAGAACTCCTCTCTGAAGAGGCAACGGACAATCAGCAAAGCCTCTTCTCCAGGAGCCCAGAGTGCAGCCACCAAAGAGGGCTGCTCTACGGTGCATTGACATCGTAAATGCTGAGCCCCCTTCCAGTTAGCATCGCCCTTGTCCTAAATTAGCACGTACTCCCCTGCCCAGACAATCCCACGCACCCGCGTTGCGGCCCATAAATTAAGCTAGCAACCATAGTAAGATAATTTTCCAATAATAACTTTTCACAGTTTCCTGCAGCATCCAAGTACAATCAACATGTCAAGTTCTGTTCTGCTGTGAGGGAAAAGAAACCTGTGAAAATGAGTTGGAGGTGGGGGGAGACAGATGACTGCGGTTTCTTCATAACAACAGAAAAACAACTCCCGCTTTCCATCTCCCACTGCTGTGTCTGGTCCAGAGCTTCCAAGCAGGGACTTGTTTGGGCTAATGAAGGCCTTTTCCCATCTGGGACGTTTGTTTTCATAGCAGAGGAGACTGTTAATCAGCGCATTCCAAAAAAAGCCCATGCGCTCCCCAGTTTGAGCGCGTGTTTCTTCGCCCTGCCGCTGGGATTGTAATGGGATTTTCACAGCTGAAGGAGGCAGAGCCCGTCCTCACCAGCAGCCCCCTCTGCCTCCAGGAAGAGGCATTTGTGAATGATTCCACATGACAGCAACATGTGCATGACTTGAGGTCTGGTAATTGTTTTCACACTAATTTTTACTTGTGAACCCCCCTCCTACCTCCATTCAGGCAAGTTTTTAAAGATGGATGGATAGATGGGTAAAGAGATCTCTGTTGTCTCTTTTTCAGGAATAAATAAATTTACTAAGAAGCTTCGAAATCCCTATTCCATTGACAATAATGAGCTACTAGACTTCCTCTCCAGGGCACCGTCTGATGTTCAAAAGGTATGTAACGAATGGTCACCACCAACAGGGGCCCCTAGCTGCAGTCTGGCCAGCCTCCGAGCCAGAGGAGCACAAGGTCTTGCTTTTGTGAGTAATTGAGATAAGGAGCCAGAAAATCCTTAAAGAGGCCTGGCTTGCAGGGAGGTGGCAGGAAAACCTTTGTCTAAAGAAAGAGATGATGGGAGAAAATTATTCTGAAAAAGAGCTACTTAAGGATGATCGGGAACTCATACCGCGTCGCTACCCTGCACGGGTTTTGTCCCTCTGTGATTGTTTGCCTCCCTATAGGGGATGAGATGGGCTCAGTGGGCAGAATCACATGCACTCCAAAAGCTGGGGCGTGTGGGTTATTGTCTTCCTTTTCTGGGTGGCAGGCATTTTAGGGGATGTAAGGGGGCAAGAGGATTATTCTTTTTATTCTCCTTAGCCCTGATTATCTCTTAGGCCTCCTTTCTCTCCCCTTTTCTCTAAAGACATAGGGAAGTCGAGGGCAAAGCCCCCACTTGCTCTTATAGAAGCAGAGATGGTCTGAAATAATTTGAAATCAATTGAAAACATTATTCACAGGTAATGGTCACATAGTCTCATTTCTGTGGATACACAGAGATTAAGGAAAGCAACAATGCCAGAAAGCCTTGTGGTGTAGCTCGATCCAGCCCCTGCAGATCTGACTGCTTCTAACTCCAGAGGAAGGGGGCCAGGCAGCAATTTCTCTAATGGAGAAAAGCCATCGTTGAATAGGTAGAAGAGGAGACCACCACATGAAATATCCCCAAGATGATCACAGACACAGTCTGTTGTTCTTTGAGAGAATCCCAAATCAAGTATCGATTTTTATCTCTAGGCCACTGTAATATATTTGGTTCCTGAAAGCTCCAGGTGGACAGCAGGGACATGGGGCTCAAACTTAAGAGTGTCTTTCCCCTTCCTTCCATGTTGAAGAGATTGAAATGGATGCAGTCATGGAATTCTTTTCTTTAACCTTATCTTGTGATATAATTAGCTGTGAGATACATTCAATCAAGATAACTTTATTCTGTAACATTTGCATTACATAGTTTAAAAATAATAACCTGGCCTATGGTATGTGTTTTCACTGAAGATTGACAGGTGTAGATAGCATCCTCTGCTCCTCTTGGGGGGTACCCCCACAAAATCCTGGAAAGAAAGGAGTTCTTGTTTGTGTGTTTGTGATGCCTTAAGTGATTAGGCATCATGTCCTTGGAAGTTTGGCACAAATGCTAAAAATAGGGGCCCATGTGGTCTGTAATACAGTATTTTTCAGTAAGCCCATTCCATAAGCAGCCCATAAAAGCCAGCACACCAAAGTGGTGTGTTTATAACATATCACTTGGGTCACAGTGTGAGTTCACGCTATATCCTCCAATAGAAATTTCCATCCAGCCCCCTAAGGATTGTCTGTACACAGTCCAGGCCCAGCCCTCATAGTGGTCATCCAGTTGGAGTTGGTGTGAACACAGAGAGATGCAACAGAAGAACATTCCAGAAAGATGCAGAGTATACTGGTGAGGTCCCCCAGGCATCAGGAGGGGCGCTTTCTGATAACGCAGTGACAGTTTGCCACTAGGGACTCTCCAGCACTCGTGTTTATCACAGATGTTTTAACCATTACATTGCAAATAAAATGAATTTTTAAGAGAAATCTTTAGTAAGTCTGGGCCCCAGTATCAATTTCAGCATATTTTCTTTCTCACGCAAAATAAATGTATGTAACTTGCTGAGATGTTTTCCCAGAGACCTTTTTTTATTTTTTGCGAGTTTTTTTTTAGATATTTTTAAAAGGAATAATTCCCAGTAAGTTGCTGTATCATATACTAAGATAAACATTCCCAAGAGGCAATTGTGAAGCTTGCCTATGATTGAAAAGTGGCACACACGGAACCAGGACCATCTAGCAGTGCCCAGAGCAGGTAGAGACCCGAGCCTCTCATTAGAAAAAAATCTGCTTTTAATATTTTGGTTTCGAGAAATGATGCATGACTTCTCAAATCCTTCCTGCAATTAATCCCTCCATGTTCCTGTGTTTAGAAAATGATTCATTACCTTTGAACCTTCCTTCCTTTGCCTTGGTTTGTCCTTGGGGAGCCATTAGCACACGCTGTGGTGAGCTAGGGTTACCTAACCGCCAGCATCACGTCTGTTTGTTTTCACAGGTGCAGTACTCGGAGCTGAAAGTCTGCAGCAGCCACAGCCCCGTGCGGAAGAAGCGCAGCGCTCCCTAGGGCACGCACCGACTCCGGCACCGCACCCGATATGTGTTTGGTTGATGAGACCAATGTTAGGGTTGTGCAGCGGTACCCGCAGTGTCCTTCTGAGAGGCGTGCTGCAGGGCCCCCTCTCTGGAGCCTACCCCCATCTTTCCCATGCACAGACGCACGTATGTGTGAGCGCACATCCCGTGCGTGGGCGTCCCACTTGCACAGAGGATCAGCCCTGCAAAAAAAAAAAAAAAAATCAATCCTGCAACTGGGAAGAGCGAGCATTCACATGACATAGGAGGTGAAGCAGGGTCGCCATGGGTCTGAACATCCTCCTTGAGAACAGCCAGGTGCCGCCTTGGTTTCCGGAGTGACTTTGAACTTGTTCTCACACCTCCAGCAGATTCTCAGTAAAATGCAGGTATTTCCACTCCCCACCCTCACACTCCTTTCAGATGACTATTCACCTGAGTAAGTTTCTTCTGAGTGAACAAGTCTGTGACAGCCATCATCTGCCCAAATGATGTATATCGTAAAGAGATATTTTAATAATTACCAAAATTATCCCAAATCTTTAGGAGCATTTCACCTGTGGTTATTAGGGATGTTCATGCACTTTTTTGATGAAGCCCTCGGTGCTGGATGCCAGCCTGTGTCATGGCCATTGCTGGCAGTGGCTGCCCCAGGAGGGTCTCCAGGGATCGCACACTCAAAGAGTGTGTATTTCATGAAAGCCTTTGGTTGCCTTCAAATGTCCTTCCTTCTGATTTTAGTTTTTGCTTATTTCCAGAATAAAATGTCAACATGTACTTTTGGAAAGGCCAGGAAGGGGATGAATGAATCAATTCTCTTAAGTGTTTTGAAAGATGAAGGACCTGAAGACCAAGGGTCTAATAAATGAAGCTGCTTACCCAGTTATCATAAGCATTTCATTTCCCTGAATGTTTTGAGCAGATAGTAAGGATCCTTTGGCCATCTAAATCACAAGGAGCTACATACAATCACTGTTATTTCAGAATCTTATTCCTAGACAAAAGCACCACCCCAAAGTTCTCCTTTGATGCCACCGGTCTCCTGCACACCCCACTATTCCAGCGTACTCCCTGCCAAGTAAAAACACCCTGATTTTATACATATACAAAATATGTACAAATATCTGTCCATTCAAGTGATATTTAAGTTTCAAAGACTGTATTTTGTCGACACATACTTTGTGCAGTTTATATATATGTGTATTATAAAGGAAAGTTAAGGTAAAAAAGATCTGATTTAAGAGTTTACTATTTTTTTTTGTCTCTGGGTTGTAATTTAATAATTTTCAAACAAAATGTTTATGGAAAATGCCAAAGATTCTAAACCTTATCATCCCGTGTCTGTTTTTCTTCATGTTGTATCTCCCTGGGTTGCTTTCTGGCTGAGCCAGATTTCTGCATGATTTGATTTACTTCAAGTTAATGAAGCTGACTGGAAAAGAGCCTTGCAGAAATTATAAAAGCTCCAGTAAATCTCTTAGTTGTACATACAATAGATACCCAAGAACCTCTTTTGTTAAACCAGTTACTCAATCTTCTGTGTAAACAATGCCTCATTGTCTTGGTCCTAAGCATCACGTAGTTTATCATAGTCTGTCATTTTGTAACGACCTAACTCAGACATTTTTAAACAGACATGTGAGATCTGATCAGTCATTTGAATGAAAACTTCCAGCAGCAAAATAACCCCTTATTTATTTAAAAGTGGAACCAATACTTTATTGTTGTTCTTTTGCTATAGAATTTCAGAATGAAATAATTTGCCTGAAGAGGCCGGCATCATTAGATAGACTTATTTCTTCTGTAGCTGGGATGGAAATTCTCAGCACACTAAGTTTAGGACCCAAACACCAGCTGGGGTATAAGAATGGAACCGAATCAACCTTTAATAAACTGTATGTATAAAACAATTGTTAATCGATTAAGTAGACCTTGGATGTTAAAAAGACATGTTAGTTGTAAGTGACATATTAAGATTTATGCAAGTAATCAGGAACTTTTAGGAAAGATTCCAGAATGCTTTAGATAAAATTTATGGATTATGGACTCACAGTATGATAATTAAAGATAATTAAGTAGGAATGTTGAAGTTTTGCCAAGGTTTCCTGGCTCTCTTCTCAAACCTCATATGCCCATCGCTAGCCCTGCCTGGATATCTTACAGGCACCTACACTCAGAGGATCAGAAACTAAACATCTCTTTCTCCCGGTCTTCAGAACCCCAACTGCCATAATCTCCTTCCAGCTTTCTTATTTGGCATGGGCATGTTCTGGGCCAGCACCCTGTTATCATCATCTTTTTTGTTCCTTATCGTTTTGTCCTCATCTCCCAACCCATAAACTCTAGTACAGTCTCATACTTGTGGGATGTTATCTGCTTCTCTTGTGCTATCTGTGTGCAATCTATTCTGATTGCCACCACCCAAGTTGAGGCCTCTTAAAAGTCATGGCCATGGTGCCCGTTGCCTTATGCCAAGTTAATACTCATTCAGACTTTTCACTTTGAATTAGCTCTCCCTAATTTCTGCCCAAATAAATTCTACACTCCTTCAAAACATTCTAGTCTCTTGCCCTAAAGAGGCTCGGTTGGTCTTTTGAGTGAATTTGGTTCCACCTTCCTCTCTTGCACCCTCACATCTTACATATTCTGACGCCTGCAATATTCTGCAATAGGTGATAAGAGGCCTTCATCACTGTCCTCCCCTGGATGGCCCATCCTAACTGGCACCTAATAGATACTCAGGAAATACATGTTTAACAGTGTCATACATGATTTGTGTTTCTCTGCCTTTTTGGATACTGCTGTCAGAACAGAAGGCTGAACTGGACAGACTAGTGAGGTCTATCTTAGGGAATAATTTCTTTCATGAAGAGCTTATTTTGTGTATTATTTATAATTCATGGATATAAAAAATAATGTCTTAAATTTGGAGAGGTTTATACCTATGTGTCAAAGGAAAATATGTTTATTTTCTTCCCTTGGGTGGTGAAATAATGTTTTGATTCCTTTTTCTTATAATTTGTCATTCAGCAAACACGTATGCTGATAATATAGTTGAGCAAAATGGACTATCTTCCCTCGGTAGAGCTGAACACATTCAGGCGATGGCACGATGTGCTCGGATTCAAGTTTGAAAAAGATCATTCTAGCTGCAGTGGCTAGACTAGCAATTATGAATGTTCAGAGAAGAATTATAAACCGCTTATAGTATTCCTAATAAATGGTATCCTGCACTTTCAAATAGTGACACTGAAAAAGAATGTGTTCCATGAAATTGGGAGATAGGAGATAAATTGAGTAGGACTTGACTCTTCCTTCACTAAGGGGGACGAGGGAGAGAGCAGAGTCAAGGATGGGTCCGTCTTCCTATTGCCAGTCTAGGAAGATGTGTTTCCTTTTGCTGAAGGAGAGAACTCTAAGAGCACCCATGGGAGGAATGACATGTGCCCAGTTTTAGTGCTGAATCTGAGGTTTCTGAAGAGTCTCCAAATGGAAATACCAAAGAGGTAGTAGAATTACAGATATGGTTCTTAGAGAAGAAATACACTGTACTTTAGATATAGGTACGTATACATTTCAAGACAAACATTGCGTAGAAAAGTAATTGAACCTTGAACTTAACACTCAAAGTTATGTAAATGAGTTGGTTAAGAATGTTAATAGAAACAGGAGTTACTAGAGAGGAGAAAACCAGTAAGTAAGTCTGTGCTGTACCAGAATTCAAGGACAGAGCACGTTTTAAGAAAGCAGGTGTGGTCAATATTGTCAAATCCTAGCTTGGCGCCCAGTGGTTATGATGCCAACCACATGCAGTAAGGGTTGTGGGTTCAAACCAGGCCCAGGCCAGCTAAACAACAATGACAGCTGCAACCAAAAAATAGCCAGAGTTTGCGGCGGGTGTTTGTAGTCCCAGCTACTTGGGAGGCTGAGGGAAGAGAATTGCTTAAGCCCAAGAGTTTGAGGTTGCTGTGAGCTGTGATACCACAGCACTCTACCCAGGGCAACATAGTGAGACTCTGTCTTAAAATACATATTGTCAAATCCCATTGAGGTCACATGTAGAGTCCAGAACAATGACCTTGAATGACATGGTAGTCAGTGGGCCCTTGTCAGTGAGTCATTTCAGTGGAGTGGTTAGAATGGAAATAAATCATATTGGGTTGAGATGAGAATGGATGTAGGTAACTCTTGAAAAGTTCAATTGTGAAGGAGAATGGAAAGAGAGGGCAGGGACTAGGAATGAAAGAATGTATCTGGGATGATTTCAGAAAGGAAAAAGACTTAGATGTTTCATGACCTCATTGTACAACTATTGGCCACAGAGAATTCTTCATGGATATAAGATGGAGTCAGCCATATTCACTACTTAAAATTATGCTCTGTCAAAACCGACCTCTCTTTTATGTAGTAGAAACCTTATGGCAACAGAAGAAAAATGAAAATAAAAAATCTTCTGAAAACATGTTGGGTAGTAATTGGTATTTGAATGAAAGCTGATATCCTGAAGGGGTCTAAAAAATGGCTTAAAGCACATTACCTGTTGTCTAAAGCTGGCTGCTATTCTATCCTGGCATCTCAATGTAATGATTTACATGGATACGCAAGCAGATAAGAATGTTAATATTTTATAGCACTCATCAGCTGCAGCCTGATATCTTCTCAGGAATTCAATATTCTCATGAAACCAGTACCTGGATCAAAAAAATCAATGCTCCCAGCCTCTGCTGTGTTCTTTTTCAGTTGCTACCTGCTATGATCTGAATATTTCTGTTCTCTTAAAGTTCCTGTGTTGAAATCCTAACCCCCAGAGTGATGGTCTTAGAAGGTGGGGCCTTTGAGAGGTGGTTATGTCAGGAGGGTGAATTGGAGCCCCTCTAAAAAAAGACCCAAGAGAGCACTCTTAACCCTTCCTGCACATGAGGTTAGAGCAGTTTTTATCATACAGGACACTTGAACCTATAGTTAAACTTCACAGCACACTTAAATTATGTTGATCAAAAAGAAAGTAAGCAAAAAGAATATACTTAGTGTGTGAAATTCTTTCTAAAATAATTAATGATCTTTAAACATTTTTGAGGCATACCTAAGATCCTCTTATGGCACAGTGGCTGAAAATCACTGGGTTGGAGTCAGAAGAACGCTGGCTGTGAGGAAGTGGGCCCTGACCAGATACAAATCTGCTTGCCTTGATCTTGGACTTCCCAGCCTCTAGAACTCTGGGAAATTAATTTCTATTGCTTACAAGGCACCCAGTTTATGGTATTTTGTTACAGTTACCTGAGTGGACTAAGACAGTACCCCTTAAGGGTATGTAACAGAGTTTCTCAAACTTGGAACTGTTGACATTTGGGGGCAGGTTAGGGTTATTCATTGTGAAGTAATGGGACGCATAGCTATGTAGGGATGTTTAGTGGCGTCCCTGACCTCTGCTGTTAGATTCCAGTAGTGCCCCCTGCACCAAGTCATGACAGTGAAAAATATCTCCAGATGTTGTTGCCAAATGCCCCCTGGGGTTGCAGGAGTATTTGGCAAAGCCACCTCTAGTTGAAAACTACTGGTATATCCTGTTCTTTATGTTACCAAGACCCAAAACAGAGGGCCACCCTCAGGTGAGCTGTCACTTAGTCTTGTCCTCCTCCACTGTGGTGACTTGACAACAGCTAAAGTCCAGAGAAACTTTGGAGTGCAAAGCAATATTCAGTACGCTCACTGCCTGTAAGTTCTGAAATCCAGGTTGTCCCTGAGTCTGGATCCTGGAATATTTCACTTCTTATTCCATCTGCCCTAGGTTCTACTACCCTCTGCTAATGGACTTGTACATTGATTCAACCACTTTGGAAAACTGTTGGGAGCACTGATTGTTTATTAAGCTGCACACACACCTACCCTATGACTCCTTTGGGGTGTTCTGATTACTTATTGAATCATTTCTATTTATCCTTGTTTAAAAAGATATTTGAAGTAGCCTTAAAACTACATTAGTACATTAATAACCTTGTACATTCAGTGGCATATTATAGCTAAAAATAAGATCCATTATTTCCTTGAGCTGTATAATGAGTAAGTTGAGTACTTAGGTTTTATAATGTATGTTCTTATAATTTTTATATGATTCCAAATAAGTTCATATGTTGTGACTGTTATGACTATGAAGTCTCTTGTAAGCTATTATATATACACTCAGTATTTTTTTTTTTTCTTACAATGTATTATTTGAAGAAAACTTTTTTTTTGGTCCTGTAGAGCAGCGATTCTCAACCTGTGGATTGGGACCCCTTTGGTGGTTGAACGACCATTTCACAGGGTTACCTAATATCAGATATTTACATTAAGATTCATAACAGGAGCAAAAATACAGTTATGAAGTAGCAACAAAAATAATTTTATGGGTGGGGTCACCACAACATGAGAAACTGTATTAGAGGGTCTCAGCGTTAGGAAGGTTGAGAACCACTGTTGTCGAGTGTCTGACCACTTCAGTTTTGCTGATTGCACCACCTGTGGTGTCATTTAATATGTTCCTTTGTTCTGTTTTCCATAAATTGGCAGTTGGAAAGAGGTATATGCAGATACTGGTTTGATACTTACCACTTCTACTTAGCATAGTATTGGAAGAGTCTTAGCCAGACCAAGTCGTAGGCAAGAAAGTGAAACAAAAAACATCCAAATCAGAAAAGAAGTTAAATTGTTCTGTTTGATTCATTAAAGTTGCAGGTTACAAAAGCAACATAAAAAAACAGTTGTGATTTCATTTTAAAAGTGAACTATCTGAAAAATAAAGGAAACAATCACACATATAACAGCATCAAAAAATAAAATAAAATAAAATACTTAAATATAACCAAGAAAGCTGTGAAATGGTATTGAAAGAAATTGAAAAATACACACATGGAAAGTTATACTGGGTTTATGGGTCAGAAGAATTAATATCGTCAAATTGTCCATACAATCCAGAATGATATACAGATTCACTGTGACCCCTATCAAAATTCCAATGATGATGATAGTTAATAAACGTATATTAATACTTGAAATCAAAGAAAAGTAGGTCTTAAGTAGTCTCACACACACAAAAGGTGACTATGTGAGATGATGGATGCCTTGGTTGATTATGGTAATCATTTCACAATGTATATATCAAAATGCCACATTGTATTTTGAATGTACATAACATTTATTTGTCAATTATACCTCACCAAAGCTGAAAAAACAACACTTACTAAAACCATGGCAGGGAATACTATTATTATCTTCCATTTTACAGATGGGAAAACTGAGGCACAGATGGTTAAGGAATTTGCTCAAGTTCACATAACTATGAAGTTACGAGGCTGAGCCCTCAATCCAGCCATTCTGGTGCTGTGCCCTTGCCCATTACATAGTCTGCCTTAAATTCCGTTCAGAAACTTCATTGACAATGTGAAAGACAAGACTTCCAGTCTTACCGACTGAGACCACACTGGCTATGTGCCCCTGCATAAACTGATGAATCCTACTCTTCTCATCCATGCCCTCACACAAGCCTTGAACTGCAGGTGGAGTTCTGGCTTTAGTTGGCATGTGTGTGATAAAATGCAACATCCAGTTTCTAGAGCTATCCAGACAAATGTAGCAAGTTTGTAGACTTTGACAACTCCACCCTGAGTTTTTTTTTTTTTTTTTTTTTGGCTGGGGCTAAGTTTGAACCCACCACCTCCAGCATATGGGGCTGGCGCCCTACCCTTTTGAGCACCCTGAGCTTTTTGAGGCTTGCCAAAATCAGGGCAGCTCCATCCCCACTCCCCTGATGTGACCTCCACTTGGTGCCACAGCTTCCCTCAACACCAGCAGGTGCACTCTTCGACACACTTCTGGGACGACTCTTCATACGCTCTCGTCTCTCGTAACACTTGTGGATTTATTCTCTTTTATACTCTGCTCCCGTTTTATTGTCTTATGATAGATGATCCATCCTACCATGTTCAACTAACCAGATTTTAAGACATCCAAACTAAGCACACTCCGTGACCCTTGTTCACGTGTCTATTATTTGCTCAAATGTTTTAAGACAACCTGTGTCAGTTAACACCAGGACATGATCTTTCTCAACCAGTTGTTAACTCAGGTTAATCTGACTTAGTCTAGTGGTCAAAACAGGAACTTACTGTTTTCAATATGTCTACACTTAAATATGTGCTTTGACGTATTTAAAAGACTAAGTACAGTAACATGGCTAAGACACTTGAAATTTGATTCTAACAAAATATTTTGTGAGACAGTCTGATTTCGTTTCTTCCGCAATGTTCCAATAGCAAAGATGCATAAGCAGCTTCAAGTGAGGCTTAATACCTAAGATAATAAATAGAAGTTCTCTGCCTTTTATTGGTCTCACTATTTTATGCAAAAGCTACTGCTCAGTATCTGTCTCGGTTTCTAGAATCAGCTAATAATATATTAAAAATTAACATTTAAAATATTTTAAATGTACTTATTACCTAAATTTGAACCAATGAACTCATTTCTTAGACATTTTAGGTCACTAATACTATTTTCTTTCCTATGAGAGAAGTTATCAGCGGCGTTTAGCCAGGAACTTTACTGAAAGTCAATGCCACCTCTTTGCATTTATCACCGCCAGTCTTGCTCTGCATATATTTTTGGTATTCGCCATGCATTGTTAACGGTGATTGTCATGTAATTAAATCACTGCTCATCACAGGAGTCTGTTTTTATGCTGAGATAAGCATCAGAGGCTGCTGTAGGACCCCGAGATCAATAAAGATGTTCCCAGTAGGATTACAAAGAGGATGGGGTTGAGTAGGGCACCAGAATTAATTAGGAATGATTTCTCTTT